TGTACGAATCTACCCCAAATTCAAATGAAAATAATTACGCTATTTTTTATAGAATTCACTAACCATACGATAAAACGATTAATAATTATTAAAGTATAATTTTAAGACATTTTATTTACTAGAAAAATTTTTCTTGTTTATAACCTTAATCAAAGACGTCTTAAATTACTTGTCAAATACCTTGAAAAACTTACTCAGACAGCGCTAAAACACATAATATCCTGCTCTATCAGTTTACGTAGTCCGATTAATATGAAATTTTGTCGGTATGTGGCCACGCAATAAGACTAACTAAATATGTATAGACGTGTTCCGAATCTGCGCGATTCTTCCTGAATCATTGAATGTATGTATGTATGTGCCTCGTGTACGGAGGATCCCCATCTCCCCCTATATCTTTTTTTTAGATTTCTAAAAATGCTGCAAGCTTTTAGCGGTCCAATAATGTTCGTGCAATGCATCGAAACATTAACTATCCTCTGTTTAGTCTCATTCGAAGCATCGGTGATTAAAATTGCGGTACGAATTATTTTATACCCTTACAGAAAAAACACTCAAATTTTGAGTGTTTACACTAAAAAAAAACACTTAAAAGAATACTCAAAATAATACTCATTTAATTGTCCGTCTGAGTGTAATTCTCAACTTGAGTGTTATCCTCAACTTGAGAGTTAACTTGAGTATTAGGGTAGGGTAATTTCGGTATATATTACGCCGCACCTATTAAAAACTTAATTTATCAGGTATTATTAATTATAGTTAAGATAAATGAACTATACCAATAAAAACTTTAGACTGTACTACTATAAAAAAAATATTAGGAATCTAAAATATTTATTTTTTATATTAAAAAAATTCTTTAAACTTTTGCATTTTTGTTGTATAACAATATGGGTGGGTTATACGGCTACTCACAGGTGGAATGAATAACTAAAAAAATATACGAATAATCTAAAGAGCACTTGTATTTTGCTATATTCTATCCTTTACAATTCCTCTACACTTATGTATCAGAAAATAACCACGAAGCCTTTTATATTTCCTACAATAATCATTTTATGTAGATTATAACTTATGCTTGCGCTACTTAATTATTACAGTGATAAATCGATTTAACTTATAATAATTTTATAAATATTAAGGCAATGCTGGAAGGTCGGCTAAATTTGTACGAGGATAAAGCAGTCTGCTCAATTCGTGACAATATTTGATTAACATGTAAATTCTACAGTTTATATATGCAAATTGAAGATATGCCACTTTGGGGACAACGTAAAAGAACAATACTGAATTGTTAGAACTAGAATAAAAGTCTATAAAAAAAGTTATTCACTTTTAAAGATTTCATGTAGATGTGCAAATCTGCGTGAAATCTTTAAAAGTGAATAACTTTTTTTATAAGCTGTTATCCTAGTTCTAACAATTCAGTGTTGTACTTTTCTGTTGTTTGCAGGATGGTATTCTTTTAATTTGCACATATAAACTATAGAATTTTCATATTAATCAAATATCATGAAATTGAGCAGACTGCTATTATTGACCTCGTACATACAAATATCACTAAGTATGGCCTTTCAGCATCAAAACTGAAGTCATAACACAATACTAATATAAAGGTAACTTACTAACATAAAGGTATATAACAAAGTGATTGCGAGAAAATTACTTTCACTTCTATTTTTTCTGACTTCTGCGACATAAATCCTCGCGCGGCGTATATACCGAAGTTACCCTATAGACTTTATAGGTCTAGGAGTATAGACTTTTGCATTACGCTGTATTACACAATAAGACATAAGACATAACAGAATCAACCAATCAATGTCCTTTATTTTATACTTTGATTGATTGATTCTCTTAATTATGTCTTATGCGTTATATAGTGTTATGCAAAAGTCTGTGATTTGATCCTTATTCTTAAGTTTGTATTATAACACCAATGTTCATAATTAGAAATTGATCCAAGTTCTCGGCTGAGAATTGTATAGTCAATCAATGTGCAGCTTTTATAGAAAGCAGCAATTTTATTACATTTCTCGATCCGAGAACTCACAATCAGCCAATTTCTAGCATGTGAGCAATGCTTTTTTATTGCACTAAAATACAGGGTAATAATAAGCTACAATCTTCATAACATAATATTAAATGTGATTTATTTTAAGTTAAGTTTAGATTGTCTGGAGGCATTTTTGCACTTATTATCGACTAATTTTGTTAGTAAAGCCTCGATTTCTTATTTGTTTCTTTCTGAAAATATCTCAATTGTATAGTCTGAAAAAAATTTAACCATTTTTAATTTTTTGTTACTGCATTGATATACGTATATGTTCGGCATATTTAATGCACCTGAGCATTCTATGTTGTCATTTAATGTGTACATTCAATGTTATTATTCTAATTATTAAACTACAAAATTTGAATATTTCGATAGATTGACATGGAATCTATCTTGAAATTATGGAATCTGCTTGAGTACTTTTTGTGCGGTGCCTTTCAATTATATATCTTCTGTTTCTTTGCCACTCAACTTGAACATTTGGTTAGTTTTATTTATGGCTTTATGCTAACGTACTACAAATTTTTTCTACTATATTCATAAGAGCTTTAAAACAAAAATAATATATATAATAGTAAACAATTCCAAAATTGTTAAATATAATTACATTAATTTTAATTTTTATATCATTCTAGGGCTTGCAAATTGCGCATTCAATGTATTCTTGCGGATGGGAGCTTATAATTTTTGAAAAAAAAGGACAAATAGATTTCAAAACACAGTTAAAACAACAACGTAGTGTTAGTCAATTAATACGAATTAGTATGGTGCGGGCACAGAGGCCGATTGTTTTAACCGGCGGTCCATTTTACGTTCTTTCATTGGAAACTTTTAGAGTCGTAAGCAACACGACAATTTTTATATATTCATTTAATCATTTTTTATATTTCTAGAATTATAATTAACTTTATAAAACTTAATCTTTGTTTCCTTTTTGCATTGTTATTTTGCAAAAGAATGTGTTATTATTAATAAATATTATTATATATTTTTATTAAATTATACAATGTATACATATTTTTGCACAAAGTACTTTTATGAAAAATGAAAATTAGATATTAATGTAAATTATAAAAATAAATTAGAATTGCAATCTACGTTTTCATTCATGTAACATAAAAATTTGTCGCAAGCTTTATACTTGAACAAAAATATAAAATTAAGTATCATAGAAAAATATAAAATTTATGTTACAGATAATGGGTATGGCAATATCAAATTCTGTAATTTTGCGAACAATTTCTGATACAGGTGAATGAATTAAAATTAACAACTATTAATATTTCATTATTTTTAATATATAATCTTGTTATTATAGTCTTGTTAGTATAGTTTTTAATATATAGTCTAAACATTACCTGATAGTAATAGTTGAATAGTGTATATCGTAATTAATTAAAAGTTATATATAGTCTTGTAAACATTGTGTGATAGTAACAGTTGAATAGTGTATATCGTAATTAATTAAAATTTGATCCTTATATCTCTATATGCTTTTACAATGTTAAAAAAATTTACGTAAAAAAGTTATATTTTCACACGAATAATTCTCTTTTATCTAAATATTTAAATGTCATACGATTAATAAATTTGTATATCGCCGTCTTATTAAGAAAGTATAAATATAAACAAGCTTCACAGTTACTAAATCTTATATAAGCATCGTTTAATTATAAGCTTACATCGTTAAAAAAAGTTATATTTTCACACAAATAATTCTCTTTTATCTAAATATTTAAATGTCATACGATTTATTAATCTTATAATTAAACGATGCTTATATAAGATTTAGTAACTGTGAAGCTTGTTTATATTTATACTTTCTTAATAAGACGGCGATATACAATTGACAGATAATTCATGTAATTAATGTGAATACAAATACAGAATGTCGACTGTCGGAATAATCTGAAAATAATGTACATTTTTTACGTAAAATATATAAAAATAAGCTAATCTATAATTTTTATTATTTTTTATTTTAACTATGTCTTGAAAACATATTTTAGATCTCTTATTTATTTTTTTTAAATATTGAAATTATTAACTATTTATTAATTTTTAAAAGTCAGTATTTCAGATTTATTATTTATTATAGTAATATTGTAAATCAATTCTCATAAGTATTAATTGTAAGTACGATTAATTGAGATTTAAATGTCTCTGTGACCTTTTTTTAGACACATAAAGAACTTATAGTAGTGAAAAATCGGCAACTCAGTGAATTGTAAAATACACTCAAAATATCAACGCATAAAAGTAGAGCAATAACAATAATAAAACTATGTTATAATTTACTAGCGTTTTATCACGAAGAGATATAGCATATAAACATAGCCATAATTGCGTCCATGGCTTGTTTTAATATGTACCAAACTGCGGGTCATATGTCTTTCGCGAGAAACGTATAGCCATGGCAGCCGTCGATACTTTGAGTGCACTTAAATTACCAAATTGTCGATTTTTTATTACTTCGCAGTACATATAGCCTCATCGTCAAAAAGTTTTCATCTTGAAACCTTCATAACTCGGCGAAAAAAAATCATACAAGAATAAACGAAATTGCTATTTAAAGGATAAAAGATAGCGCTTTATGATGTTTCTAAGAAAATATTAAATTAAAAACACAAAGTCAAGCACGGTAACGCCTCGAAAATGGTAAAATCATAGTTTTTAACCCATTTATCTCAAAAACTCGATGTGATGGACATTTATCTAATGGAATTCGGATTCAGCAATAAAAATTACTTAGGAACTCACTATTTTGCTACTTGTTTCTTTTTTAGGAACCTTAGGGTGCTTTCCATTTAGTGACACAAGTCGACACAAACGTCATTTGATCCTTCTCAGCATTTCGTGAGTAACAAAGACAAAACGATACTTGTGTCGGTTTGTGTCACTAAATGGAAAGCACCCTTAATTTCGCAGGCATGTGTAATTCTTTGTTATTTTCTTTTTAACCGCCATACAACACGTGTCATTAAAAATCCGATCGATAAGTGGTGCAATCACGCTTCCTTTATTTCATGCCAAAAAATATCAAGCGGCGCAATTACATTAATTTCTTACATTTAACAGAACAATCGCTATTCCGTTGATGTAACATTTAGAACGCCTACGTTAATCAGTTTTAATTTATTAAAACCTTTTTAAACAATAATGGTACCAACGCACATTTAGACTTAGAACGCACACCGTGCGACACTTAATCAGTTAATAATAACCTGTTTTTTTTTAGCTGAACTTCTTGTACGGTTTAGATCTTTTTTTTCTACACTAAAGAAAAAAAGAGAAAAAATAAACGGTGCAAGAACTTCAGCTAAATAGAACAGGCTTAATTCATAATGTATTATCACATATCAGTGTCTAATCTTAATTCATCCATTGTTTTATTCGCATTTTTAAGATAACATATAAGTATACGAATAAAGAGATATTCTAATACAGTATCACATCAACCAAACAATCAGTTACGATGAAATACTTAAATACTGTGATAATTTATCTGTATCCATTAATTTACATATTATGAAAAAGTTATTTACGTTTAGATTTCCTCATATTAAACATTTATTTTGTGATTTTCTAAGCCAATATTGATATTTTCACTTACATTTTCGATTAGTAGGTTTAAATGCGCTGGCATAAATCGCAATTATCACGAATTATAAATGATGAATAACAACATTATTTACTACGTTAGAAAATCTTTTATATTTGCAATATAAACATAAATGATATAATAATATTGGTATTTAATAACTTATACGTATAAAACATAGTTACAATATAAATTTTATTTTGATATTTTTTAAAATTATATTTCAAAGCAATTTATATTATATAGTTGCGAGAGTTGAAATTATATAAGACTTGTGAGGAGATTCCCTACTTTTTCTATTCGTGGAAAGATGGAAGAGATAACGAGAGTTACGAGTGTTCTCACTCGGATGATGCTCTAAAAAATATTTTTTATTTTTGAGTAATGGGGCCTGAAAAGGGCTGTTTGTGCCTACTCTATGCTGGCCCTGAAAAGGGCCGTTTTTGTGATATCGTGTGGTGGCCCTGAAAAGGGTCGTTTGTTGGTATCCCGGCTACCGCCTTCGCTCACGCCAGGAGATCCGCGGCCGAGTCCGGGTGTAATGTATCGGCCCCCAGCGAAACTTGTCTTCGGGCGCTAACCTTAAAGATGGCGGTGTTCCCGGTGGGGATCCTATGCTGCTAGCGTCCGAGTTCTGCTCGATGTGGCCTGGTCCCGAGTGTATGAGCGGCTGAAGCCCTGATGGCTCCGATGATTCCTGTCCCGCGCCTGTCGCGGGTTCCGGCGACATCTGCGTCCCCTGGGACTTTGGCTTTCTGAGGCGATCTCCCGATGATGACTCCCACTCGCTGCCGGATAATGCGGCTTTGTCCTTTGTTGCTAGCTGCGAACACTGGATTCCGCGGTGTACCCGTGCGGATGTTGTTGTTTGCCCCGCGATGTCCCGTCGGTCGCTAGGCGATAGGAGCAGTGGCGGCAGGAGGAACGGCGGCTTGTAAAAGGGCGAGGTGACTCTCCTGCAGCTCTGGTCCCAGGGGCCCAGCCCAGCAGCTCCTTTGGTGGCCGTGTGAATCTTACCGGGAACAGCTCCAGCGATATCAGTCTCTACTCGGAGATGCCCGGTTGGTGCAGGCATCGACAGGCGCAGCAGTCTTGGCCAGCCCTGTCCTTCAAAGTTGAAGGTGGCAGCGGGATTCCTTTCCTTGGCGCCAGGTTTCAAAAGATATTCGGTCCTGTTCGCGTCGCACCAGAATTCAATTGCACAACTATGGAGTTTACTTTTGGATTCACTTGTGTGAACGCAGGCAGTAATGCTCATAGCTTCAGCCCCTTTTATTACAGGCTTCACCCGATTTTGCGTGCGGATTATCGATTAAGCTCGAAACTGCCTGGCGATAACGGTACGACTTAATTAGCCGTGCTCACGCGGCTATTGTTCGCGCTCGCGAATCACGCTTGTCGCGTGCGTACGTCGGCGCGTGTGGTGTATGCCGGTCTTTGACTATATAAGTATGGACTAATAGTGATTAACTTCATACGTGTCGCCAAGCTGGAAGATGTAAACTCCACCCCAGTTAGTAATTTTCTGCGGGGTGGGGGAAGGCTCCTGTGAAATCAGCGTGTTTACGACATGTAAAGGAAAGGTGCTGAGTCTATTTTTTATTTCTTTCCATCGATTTGAAATTTTTTCCGACTCCCTATCAATTTTCAACATAACATTTAATACATTTTGACATATTTGACATTTTTTTACTGACTGGGGTGGAGCCTAACAATCGAAGTTCGATACCTCAACCAACTTCAGCTCGGTGACACCGGGCATATGTCTTTTACATAGTAAAAGTGGGGGGACTAGCAGTCCATATTTATATAGTCAAAGATGCCGGTGCGTCTGCACGTAGGCGCTCTTCTGTAACGCGTATTCCGCTACTTTGTGGCGCTATAAGCCACGCCACAAGACTCATTTACAATCTAGTCGCTACGTGGAACACTGATAAATCAATATGTTAATCTACACCTTTAATGTGCTTATTGTTAGTGTAGCGGTATTTGGATTATCCTCAGCCGCAGAAACTACTGTTCGTAAGTGTTCTTTAATAATTCTTTTTATTTTCTTTTTAATCGTTTTAAATATGTCGCAAATCATTATAAAAATCGGATCGATAAGCGGTGTGTAATCACTTCCCTTATATACCGAAAACCATTAACATGATGTGATAGCGTTATTTTCTTAAATTTATACTTTATAGCAACAATTGCTATTCCGTTGATGTAACATTTTGCGTACCTATACGTTAATCAGCTCCAGTTTATCAATAAAACCTTTCAAATAATAATGGTATATTAATGGTAGACAATAATGATATAACAACGCACTGTAGACTTTGAATGCATCTTGCGATCTTTAAGCAGTTATGTAATATAATACTTCGAGATGCGTTATATTATATTATGGATGTGTCGGGGGGATATATTAAGGATAGGCGATGGGATTCCGGTGTCTTGCAATGAGCAGAGTCGTTTATATTTAACTGTACATTTATTGAAATAACTCACTGATATCACATTTACACTTATGTGAAGAGCGGCTCCGAAATATCGTTAAGAGGCTTTGCGCACAAAGTTGGCCGGCGTGCCTCGCGGCTATATTCTCACGCGCAAAATGCGTGATCGCGGCTAAGTCCGAATACGTCTTTGCGTATGCTCCGATAGCTAAGTCTAAATATCAGAAGCTCGATTGCTCCAGTGGCTAAGTCCGTAAATGCGGAGGCTCGATTGCTCCAGCGGCTAAGTCCGTAAATGTGGAAAATACTCGATCGCGAAACTGCTCCGATATTTCCGATAATTATTGAAGAGCTCCGAAATAAATCTCTCTCCGCATACTCTCGAAAACACCATTATATACCCCTCCGGAACGCCGGATATCGATCTCACCCCCTAGATCGGGGTGCACGCGCCGGCTCGTCACGCATATTCGCAGGCAGATGGCCTCAGACTGCCAATTTTCTTACAGTTAATAATAAGTCTGTTTTTTTAGCTGAACTTCTCGTACGGTTTAGTCCTTTTTTCTTTCTATATTAAAAAAGAAAGAAAAAAGTAAATAATATGCAAGAACTTTATTCGGCTAAAAAAGAGTAGGCTT